TCTTGTTCACTGTTGTTCTAGCAATGTTCATTAAAAAGTCCTGTCATTTTGCATAAATATGGCTATATTTGAGAGCTCTGACACTCCTGAATTTGTTCATGCGCAGTCATCTTTGTTCAACTGACAAAACATGTGGAAGTTTTGGAAGAGACATTCGTCGGTCTAGTCTGCCAGTTCACATATTCACAAGCATATAAGTCTAACCTTTTCATCAATTTGTATCACTGAATTCATAAAATATTTTGCTGTAGGTAAAAGATCATTCTTCTTATTTCTCTGCCTCAATTATTCTCAGATTTTCACTTTTACATGAGTTGCAATATCTGCACCTTTCAATTTACAGAACAGATACAAAGGTACTGATATGTTTAAAGTCATGTATGTAATTTTTAAAATCTCACAAAAACAAAAGTTTTAAAAATGATTAACTCATATGCTAAAACACAAAATTGATATAACTCACTGACAACGTAAAGAAATTTACCAAAAGAATATGTTCCTATCAAGTGTTTAATGTGTTTACATTCGCTAATGCAATTTATTTACACTCACCATTGTAAATTGCTGTTTGTTTTATTGTGAAGCTGACTGGTCTACTTTTCATTTGGTTTGATATCTTTTCATGAAATCAATGTAATATGCCAACACTCACCAATTTAATGTGTAGCTGTCCAACTTCCACAACACAATTCTACGTAGAATTATCAACATTTTCTGGCCAGATACAATCTCAAACACTAAACTACTACAAGTCACAAACAAAGAAACTTTAGACGGTATGATAACCAATAGAAAATGGAAATGGCTTGGCCAGGTTATTAGAATGAATCCTGATTTACCTGCCAAAACAGCTCTCATATGGACACCAGAGGGAAAGAGAAAACAGGGGCGCCCAAAAACAACATGGAGACGAACGATGGAAAGTGACCTGAGTGCGGCATCTCTGACATGGAAAACTGCAATCAAGATTGCACAGGACAAGAAAGCACGGAAAGTCCTCTCTGAAGCCTCATGTGCCACTAGGCATAACGAGAACTGAGTGAGAATATAATGTGTGCTTACTCCCATTAACGTAAGGTGCTTACACTTCCCAATATTACTCTCATTAAAGTAAAGTGCTTACACTCACTAATATAATGTGTGCTTACATGCATTAACGTAAGGTGCTTACACTCACCGATATACTGTGTGCTTACTCCCATTAACGTAAGGTGCTTACACTTACCAATATAATGTGCCATTGAGCTTGAAGTGATGCGTTTGCGGAGGGTTTCCAATGTGTTACGTGTTGCTTTGAGAAGAGCGTCCAGGTTCCTGTTGTTGAAGTGTGTCAGCAGATCCATGGCAGATTCTTCGATATGTTCTCTCATCTCTTTCTTCTTCTTGGCTGCAGCTCTGGGTTTAGAGGACAAAGGTCGAGACTTGCGACTGCCTGCACGAGAATGAACAGCAGAGCCCCCTGTCAGCTCCTCTCTGGTACCTATTTTTGCCCCATCATCTTTAGCATTGAGATCTGTAGTGCGGTTTAAAAAAAATTAAAATAAAAAACAATTTTAAGGCATTACAATTAATTTTTTAAAGAACTGTAGAAAAGCAAGATGGAGCTTGTGAGGTCATATATCCAGGTCGATGATGGAATCTGATGCAGAAAACTGTTGGGATCAGACGGCTTTTAGGCTAATTTTGTCAAAGTAACTGATATAGAAGGTTAAAACAAATGACTGCATGCCTTCTGGAAGGGCAGCTATATGTGGATAGACAATGTAGCATTGGAAGGGGTTGGAAGGGGGGGGGGGGGGGGATAAACAGTTTTAAATACTGGTGGACACTGCTACATAAGGTTGGACAACAATGTTACATATTTTTTGACCAAGTTAAATGCCACATGTGGATGCTACATGTCGATAACAAATATGCTGTACCATGTAAAATACACAGAGAAAACGTGACCTTAAGGTTCTTTAATCAGTCTTTATAGAAAAGATAGAAACCTGTGAAGATAATTTTACTAACTGAGTGACTTTCTACCCCACCAGGACATCACACAAGCGATAAACACCCGATGACACAATGTGCCATCATGTGGGTGAGGATCACCGTGGAGAGGTCCCAGAAACCGCGTTCAGCCTTTAGGCCATATTTATGGCCAGGCTATATTGCGGCCCCTGGCAAAAGCCAGAGCAGTGCTGCAAATAACACAAAATTCCATCCTGAAAAGGATGGGAAATAGATATTAATTTACCAAACAAATGGATGATGAGATGAATAAGATTATTTGACTGACTGACTGACTTTCTACCCCACCAGGACATCACACAAGCGATAAACACCCGATGACACAAAGTGCCACCATGCAGATGAGGATCGCCGTGGAGAGGTCCCAGAAACCGCGTTCAGACATTTGGCCATATGTATGGCCTGCCTATATTGCGGCCCCTGGCAAAAGCTAGAGTAGGGCTTTAAATGACAAAAAATTTCATCCTAAAAAGGACGAAATTGGATTTAAGATTATTTCACTAGTTTTGAAATGTTATTGCTTACATAATTGTAAAATACATGCAAATTACAACATTAACATAAATAACTGTACAATGCATGTAAATGAAAACATACTGTCTTCTGTTTCATCTTCAGATCCTTTCTCTGGCTCTTCAATGCCACCTTCTTCATCATCTGGGTCTGCCTCACAGAGCATAGTGATCAACTCACTGACTGACTCTTCCACCGTTTGACTCTTTGTCTGCAGAGAGTGGGCTCCCTTGGCACACAGTTTCTGCAGAGAGAAATTACATTATGAATCGTTCATTTATGATCTTCACTCTTGCATTCAGTAAAGTTTTACTTGTGCAATCACTACATCACATTGGATCAGAGAGCAGAATGGTATGTGATACACGATAGATAAGCGACAAAAAAAAAACAGTTCTGAACCTTATAGGCAGTTTACTATCCTTTTCTTTTGATCAAGTAAGTAGAACATTAAGGTTTAATTTTGCCTGAAAATAAAACTGTCCATATGTCTAGCATTAATGTCAACATATTTTAATAATTCTCAAAAAAAAACCATGAAGTATAACAGTTTTTGCTGTTTTCCCAAATGAAAGGTATTTATTACTTATTAACTCTGTGTGGGATCCAGGACTCCATTTTGAGGAACAACCAAAGAATAGACAGCTGTCCCCAAATAAGCATGTCATAGGAAATGCCTAGTTAGGGGTATTTCCTCCAAAGTCTGAGGGTCTCTGCCTGATCCAGCAATCTGCTTTCAAATAAGTCAGATGTGTCAAACATACCTCTTTTTATCTCATCTTGGGGCTCTTATACGGGAAAGTGCCTGTGTGTGCTTCATAAATAATATTCCCATTTAGAGATTCCCAAAATGGATGTGCATGCAAAACTCTTGTGCTGGATCAAGACCAAAGTCCAGAAGCGGGCGAAGGCCAGAATTTTCCACCAGTGAATGCTAAGAAAATTACTACCAGTAATTACTGCGGACTGAAAATGAATCTTAATTAAATGGGTCCACGCACATCATCATCAGTCATCAAGTCCTTTACAGAACGTCGCTCTCTTCACGGCACGCCTGAAAGTATCCCTTTCCCTAGCCAGCTCTCCAGCCACATGTGCTTTCATTGCCAATGCATCTTCAGTGTCCTGTATCCATCTTCGCGGAAGTCGACCCCTGCCTCCCCTTCCACAAACTGTACCCTCCATCACCATCTTTTCCAAGCCACCATGACGTTTGATGTGGTCAAATACTTCAACTTTCAGGACAGGATGCTGTTTATGAGCCACTTCTCCTTAGTGTTTAACTCGTGTAGAATGTCGATGCTTTTCCAGGCACATAAAGATATGAAAATGTCAATTTAATATATTTTCCAGGCAGATTTGTCATGAGGAATCAATATCACTGCACTCAGACACCATCCACAGTCTCTTCCAGCAGACGTCAAAGGACACAGATACAGTTAGTTTAAAACAGAATCATGAACATGTGATGTATGTTTTGTTAAACCTAAGATAAACATTGCTGAGAAAGACCAAAGGTGATAACCTGGATTCCATCAAAATCCAAAGGACCTCACAGGACAGAACAGAATGAAGGATTAGACAAATCCTATGTGATCTGAATTGGAGAGACCCAGAAGATACAGATATGACCAACAAAGAACTTATCGGAACTAGTCCTTGTCAGGAATATACTGGCAAGAAATGCTGAAACAAAAAAACTAAGCAGATGCACACTGCGGAGAACACATAGGACCACCAACATCGACGAGCAGCATACCAGATGGAATACCCAAATTATAACCTTTACATTTTAGGAGGTCAATTTACAAAGAAAAAATACAAAGAATTTCCAAACTGGGTCAGAAAAATGTTTTTTTAAAGAGATTAAGACACAGAGACAACTAATCATAAATATTATAAAAAGGCAGTTAAATGTACAATCCATGAGGAAATAGTAACCAGAGTAAACTGTAGAATTTAGGAAGATTTTCGGAAAAAGAGAGAAAGAGCAAGAGAAGATTCCTGACAGTCTTTCACTATAGTGCGGAAAACATAAACACACAGATATATTTTGTCAGAGATTGCAAGATGTGACAAAAATATTACCACATGCCAGTTGGCACAGTAACTAAACGATCAAGATGATTATTTTCTATAATGTTTGACATCATGAATGCAACAACAAAAATCATTATGGAATAAAACCACAACCTGTGTATTATCAATAAAATCCTGGACTGTCCAAGGCTCATCTTCAGGAAGCTGGCAGAGTGTGGTGGCAGCCATCTCACGCAGGATGGCGTCGATACGGCACTCTGTGACGTCACGGGCTCTGTCAACTAACAACTCAAGCTCACCCAAGGCACTGGAAAGGAAAAGAATAGAAACATCCTATTTAAATTTCCTGTATTACCTATTCCCACAATCCCACCTGTCTAACTATATCTACTCACCAACCTACATACTGAACTACTTAACTTCATGCTATCATTCTAATTATCTAATTACATTAAAAATCATTAAAACTTGTAACTCCTGTCAACACATTCACTCACATTTATAATAGTTTGCAAAGATGTTTAACTCACCGGTAAACATCCTGAATAAAATCAGGTATCTTGACAGATGTCCAGGTGAGCATAGTCAAACCAGGCTCAATGACATCGTCGACCTTGGCCAAGTGAAGCCCCATCAGAGCTTCAAAGGCAGCCGGGATTTTCCCCCGGACCCGTCTGTTTTCCTCCAGCATCATCTGTGGAATATCACTAATGTCAGACAATAACTGAATAAATACAAGAGCACAGGCTACATCTGTGGAATATCACTAATGTCAGACAATAACTGAGTAAATACAAGAGCATGGGCTTCATCTGTGGAATATCACTAATGTCAGACAATAACTGAATAAATACAAGAGCATGGGCTTCATCTGTGGAATATCACTAATGTCAGACAATAACTGAATTAATACAAGAGCACAGGCTTCATCTGTGGAATATCACTAATGTCAGACAATAACTGAATAAATACAAGAGCACGGGCTACATCTGTGGAATATCACTAATTTCAGACAATAACTGAATAAATACAAAAGCACGGGCTTCATCTGTGGAATATCACTAATGTCAGACAAAAACTGAGTAAATACAAGAGCATGGGCTTCATCTGTGGAATATCACTAATGTCAGACAATAACTGAATAAATACAAGAGCACAGGCTACATCTGTGGAATATCACTAATGTCAGACAATAACTGAGTAAATACAAGAGCATGGGCTTCATCTGTGGAATATCACTAATGTCAGACAATAACTGAATAAATACAAGAGCACAGGCTACATCTGTGGAATATCACTAATGTCAGACAATAACTGAGTAAATACAAGAGCACAGGCTTCATCTGTGGAATATCACTAATGTCAGACAATAACTGAATAAATACAAGAGCACGGGCTACATCTGTGGAATATCACTAATTTCAGACAATAACTGAATAAATACAAAAGCACGGGCTTCATCTGTGGAATATCACTAATGTCAGACAAAAACTGAGTAAATACAAGAGCATGGGCTTCATCTGTGGAATATCACTAATGTCAGACAATAACTGAATAAATACAAGAGCACAGGCTACATCTGTGGAATATCACTAATGTCAGACAATAACTGAGTAAATACAAGAGCATGGGCTTCATCTGTGGAATATCACTAATGTCAGACAATAACTGAATAAATACAAGAGCACAGGCTACATCTGTGGAATATCACTAATGTCAGACAATAACTGAGTAAATACAAGAGCATGGGCTTCATCTGTGGAATATCACTAATGTCAGACAATAACTGAATAAATACAAGAGCACAGGCTACATCTGTGGAATATCACTAATGTCAGACAATAACTGAATAAATACAAAAGCACAGGCTTCATCTGTGGAATATCACTAATGTCAGACAATAACTGAATAAATACAAGAGCACGGGCTACATCTGTGGAATATCACTAATTTCAGACAATAACTGAATAAATACAAGAGCACAGGCTACATCTGTGGAATATCACTAATGTCAGACAATAACTGAGTAAATACAAGAGCATGGGCTTTATCTGTGGAATATCACTAATGTCAGACAATAACTGAATAAATACAAGAGCACGGGCTACATCTGTGGAATATCACTAATGTCAGACAATAACTGAATAAATACAAGAGCACAGGCTACATCTGTGGAATATCACTAATGTCAGACAATAACTGAGTAAATACAAGAGCACAGGCTACATCTGTGGAATATCACTAATTTCAGACAATAACTGAATAAATACAAGAGCATGGGCTTCATCTGTGGAATATCACTAATGTCAGACAATAACTGAATAAATACAAGAGCACAGGCTACATCTGTGGAATATCACTAATGTCAGACAATAACTGAGTAAATACAAGAGCACAGGCTACATCTGTGGAATATCACTAATGTCAGACAATAACTGAATAAATACAAGAGCATGGGCTTCATCTGTGGAATATCACTAATGTCAGACAATAACTGAATAAATACAAGAGCACAGGCTACATCTGTGGAATATCACTAATGTCAGACAATAACTGAATAAATACAAGAGCATGGGCTTCATCTGTGGAATATCACTAATTTCAGACAATAACTGAATAAATACAAGAGCACAGGCTACATCTGTGGAATATCACTAATGTCAGACAATAACTGAATAAATACAAGAGCATGGGCTTCATCTGTGGAATATCACTAATGTCAGACAATAACTGAATAAATACAAGAGCACAGGCTACATCTGTGGAATATCACTAATGTCAGACAATAACTGAATAAATACAAGAGCATGGGCTTCATCTGTGGAATATCACTAATTTCAGACAATAACTGAATAAATACAAGAGCACAGGCTACATCTGTGGAATATCACTAATGTCAGACAATAACTGAATAAATACAAGAGCACGGGCTACATCTGTGGAATATCACTAATGTCAGACAATAACTGAATAAATACAAGAGCACAGGCTACATCTGTGGAATATCACTAATGTCAGACAATAACTGAATAAATACAAGAGCATGGGCTTCATCTGTGGAATATCACTAATGTCAGACAATAACTGAATAAATACAAGAGCACAGGCTACATCTGTGGAATATCACTAATGTCAGACAATAACTGAGTAAATACAAGAGCACAGGCTACATCTGTGGAATATCACTAATGTCAGACAATAACTGAATAAATACAAGAGCATGGGCTTCATCTGTGGAATATCACTAATGTCAGACAATAACTGAATAAATACAAGAGCATGGGCTTCATCTGTGGAATATCACTAATGTCAGACAATAACTGAATAAATACAAGAGCACAGGCTACATCTGTGGAATATCACTAATGTCAGACAATAACTGAGTAAATACAAGAGCATGGGCTTCATCTGTGGAATATCACTAATGTCAGACAATAACTGAATAAATACAAGAGCACGGGCTACATCTGTGGAATATCACTAATGTCAGACAATAACCGAATAAATACAAAAGCACGGGCTTCATCTGTTTGTTGTATCACGAAACACTATGGCACACTTGTAAACATGCCCCCCCCCCCCCCCCCCCCCCCCCCGACTGTGGAAGGTAGAGCAAGTTTATAAAGCTACACCGCCCATTAAATTAACAATGAACTCTAGGTTCCAAGATTTGAAGAATTTTGTATTGTTTACTTGTTTTATTTGCATCATGTCGGTGAAACTTTTCATTAAAACCTTCTTGATGGTGCAGAACAGGGCTATTCAGCTCAGATTACTCAGGGGCTATAATTTTGAAAATGGGGATCGTTACGGGCCAGGGCAGTGTGCCCCAGCACAGACAGATCATTAATACAGTAAGTTGGTTTGTTGGGTTATCATCATTGCACTCCAGATATGTCCATAGGTGCTCAGATCCTCCCCTCAGTATGAACCACAGCGTCCAGTGGCTAACAGTACCAGTTCTTCGTTGATTAACAAGTCCTCTTATGTGTCTGGTGTGCATCTCGTTTTTTGCTATGTGATCTTAAATCCCAAGTCTGTCATTCTGTTGAGTGATGTAGATTCACTGCCTTCAAAGTCTTCCACCCTTTCCATTTCTGTGAGTCCTATGTGACAAATGATGGCACAACAGAATAATGAATCATATTTAACCTGAAGTTTATTCATTTGATTTCTGTGGCTAACATGCAATAGTAATTAGTAGGATTTTTTTCTAGAAAATTATTAATTAGACTATATGTATTTCCACTTTATAATATGGGAGCAATGCTCTATTTGAAGAGGAGATAACTTTTGAAATTACTCACCGTAAGAGCAGAGTAGATGTTCTTGTACTCTACTTCCCTGGCTCTCATGATCTTGGCAACTGGTGGAATTTCCAAGCCGAGATGAAACATGTGGTTTGTCTCTTTGATCATGGTAAAGATCTGGAAGTCAAAGTTGACAAAGAGCTCTTTTGTTTCTGGGTGTCGTACCAACAGTGACGCTTGCAGGCTTGATTTGATAGTCTCCATCTGAAACATTTTTGGTTAAACACAAATTTTCTTTCATAGATAATATATTTTGATATTATATAAAAATTTTAAAAAGTACTTTCCATTTTTTAACTGCACAGTTAGTATTCAGATATATGCGGACAATCAGTTTGGTAATGTGCTGTTGTTGTTATTATTATTACTGGTTTTTTAAAAGACATTATTGTTGTTATGTTGTAATAGTTATTAATCTGCAATTGATCTTTTTCTTTTATGTCTTCTTCTTCTTAACATTCTTTACTTCTTTAATCTCCTCCTCTTTCTTCTTTATTTCTATCCAAGCAACAGCATCTATATCTATCTATAAGGTTTGCAGTCAAGCTTTTCACGTCACCAAAACATCAGTGCTTCAGCCATCAATCTTGTCCCTCTTATTAAACTGTTGAAGGATGTGTGCCCTTGCTGGTCATCATTCCCTTGTAGACATACAATTTACACATCCAACAAGAAAAGTGCTTGACTTTCTAACATGCAGCCCTCTGACTTTGAGGTTATGAATGTGTTTATAACATTTCCATGGTTCTCAATCATTAGGTTCTAATGCCAGGAGAACGGTTTATAGAATAAATTATTATTGTGTTTTTCATACCGTTGTATGATACTAGCATCATAGAAGAGACTGAGCTTCACCACATAATATTTCCAGAGTCAGCAATGGGACACTGTAGTTAACCTTTGTCGTAGAGGCAACACTCAGAGAAAACAAATAACATAATCTAGAGTTCTCCTGACCAAACAGCAGCCATCATAGTGCATGATATAACATTATAGTTAAAGAGCCAACCAATTACAACACAAAAAGTTACCTTTAGTTTCACAAACACTGATCTCTAAGGATAAAATGAATGAATGAATCAAGAACTGACATCTCTACACTCAGGACATACCCACACATGCTCCTTCTTCTTGCTCAGTTGCCAACAAAGAGTCGTTATGATAACAGTAGCTGCTGCAACCTGATTAAAAGTGTGCCAATGTTTTACACACAGCGTTGAATATTTTCCACTCACTGAATTGGTCTGTCAATGTATGGATACTCGGTCTGTTCTGTTGCACTGTCCACTTGATCCTAGGCAGCCTTCACCATGTCCCCTTTAACATAAAGTAGCTCACCAACCAGAGGGGCTGAAGCAGCCAGTCTATTGGACTGCTCATTACCCCGCACACCCGAATCTACTGGACAGAAAATCCATGGTATGCTCCCAATCAGAGTCTTGTCAAGCGATGCCAGCCAGTCTACATGGAGGACACCAGTTACTATTTTCCTGAGCATGCTCTGTGAGTCCAATTACTACATTCAATAAGCCAGAAATACTACAATACTACAATTTCTGGTGATGCTATCAAAAGAATTCTTTTGTACCACATCTTACTTTTGATTAAATAAGGTGAGCTTTTTTACTGTTGCACAGCCTACCTGTTTCAGCCATCCTCGGTGGTACAACATTTCAAACTCCAACAAAACTTTGGCCACTTTGTTGTAGTTTTTCACAATTTTCTTTGCATCTGACCCGTGAAGAAGAGTTCCATGATGTTGGAAAACTTCCATGGGCACCTGGAAATATTTGAATGTTTATCATGTCAGTTAATAAATAAATTGTTGAGCCTTAGTTTAACTTTGAACTCATTCTATACATAATTTCTATTGTTAGACTCAGTGGCCACTTAATGTATTTTAGACATGTCAAGTGCCATTGTGTTATGGTCAAGTGCTATGGTGGTCTGGTCAAGTGCTATGGTGGTCTGGTCAAGTGCTATGGTGGTCTGGTCAAGTGCTATGGTGGTCTAGTCAAGTGGCATGGAGGGACATAACTACCAACAACACATGGCATGGAGGTCTGGTCAAGTGCTATGGTGGTCTGGTCAAGTGCTATGGTGGTCTGGTCAAGTATTATGGTGGTCTGGTCAAGTGGCATGGAGGGACATAACTACCAACAACACATGGCATGGAGGTCTGGTCAAGTGCTATGGTGGTCTGGTCAAGTGCTATGGTGGTCTGGTCAAGTGCTATGGTGGTCTGATCAAGTATTATGGTGGTCTGGTCAAGTGCTATGGTGGTCTGGTCAAGTGTTATGGTGGTCTGGTCAAGTGCTATGGTGGTCTGGTCAAGTATTACGGTGGTCTGGTCAAGTGCTATGGTGGTTCTGGTCAAGTGCTATGGTGGTACGGTCAAGTGCTATGGTGGTCTGGTCAAGTGCTATGGTGGTCTGGTCAAGTGCTATGGTGGTCTGGTCAAGTGTTATGGTGGTCTGGTCAAGTGCTATGGTGGTCTGGTCAAGTGTTATGGTGGTCTGGTCAAGTGTTATGGTGGTCTGGTCAAGTATTACGGTGGTCTGGTCAAGTGCTATGGTGGTCTGGTCAAGTGCTATGGTGGTCTGGTCAAGTGTTATGGTGGTCTGGTCAATCACTATGGTCAGCTGCAGAGAAAAGTGATGGAGGATGCCGTTTCCAGACAAAGAGAGCAGAGGCTGACCTCCGTAAACGTAGATACAGGTCATTGAAGATGCATTGGTTATAAAAACACATTCTTTTTAAAGTCCATGCCATGTGTTGTTGGTAGTCATGTCCCTCCATGCCTCGTGTTGTTGGTAGTCATGTCCCTCCATGCCTCGTGTTGTTGGTAGTCATGTCCCTCCATGCCTCGTGTTGTTAGTAGTCATGTCCCTCCATGCCTCGTGTTGTTGGTAGTCATGTCCCTCCATGCCTCGTGTTGTTGGTAGTCATGTCCCTCCATGCCATGTGTTGTTAGTAGTCATGTCCCTCCATGCCATGTGTTGTTAGTAGTCATGTCCCTCCATGCCATGTGTTGTTGGTAGTCATGTCCCTCCATGCCTCGTGTTGTTGGTAGTCATGTCTCTCCATGCCATGTGTTGTTGGTAGTCATGTCCCTCCATGCCTCGTGTTGTTGGTAGTCATGTCCCTCCATGCCTCGTGTTGTTGGTAGTCATGTCCCTCCATGCCATGTGTTGTTAGTAGTCATGTCCCTCCATGCCATTTGTTGTTAGTAGTCATGTCCCTCCATGCCATGTGTTGTTAGTAGTCATGTCCCTCCATGCCATGTGTTGTTAGTAGTCATGTCCCTCCATGCCATGTGTTGTTGGTAGTCATGTCCCTCCATGCCATATGTTGTTGGTAGTCATGTCCCTCCATGCCATGTGTTGTTGGTAGTCATGTCCCTCCATGCCATATGTTGTTGGTAGTCATGTCCCTCCATGCCATGTGTTGTTGGTAGTCATGTCCCTCCATGCCATGTGTTGTTGGTAGTCATGTCCCTCCATGCCATGTGTTGTTGGTAGTCATGTCCCTCCATGCCATGTGTTGTTGGTAGTCATGTCCCTCCATGCCATGTGTTGTTGGTAGTCATGTCCCTCCATGCCTCGTGTTGTTAGTAGTCATGTCCCTCCATGCCTCGTGTTGTTGGTAGTCATGTCCCTCCATGCCATGTGTTGTTAGTAGTCATGTCCCTCCATGCCATTTGTTGTTAGTAGTCATGTCCCTCCATGCCATATGTTGTTGGTAGTCATGTCCCTCCATGCCATGTGTTGTTAGTAGTCATGTCCCTCCATGCCATGTGTTGTTAGTAGTCATGTCCCTCCATGCCATGTGTTGTTGGTAGTCATGTCCCTCCACAGCCTTCTGTCTCAACTCTGAAACAGATGATCCTCCACGCCATGATGTCAAACCGTCTAGAATATTTTCTCTCAATCTCCCTCTGCCTCTCTTATCCTCCAACTTTACAACTGTCAAGATGTACTCCAGTATGCACATGAAAACACACAGGGTTTGAGAATATGCTAAAGAAATAGATACTTTCAGGCGTGCCATAAAGAAAATGATGCTCTGTAAAAGACATGCTGATTGATTGACTGGCCACTTAATTTCAGATTAAAATGTAATATTCCCAAATGTATTAACATCCTTAACTCTTTGCGTCAAACCAACAAATGAGGCGTGAATTACCTCCTATCTCCTGAATTCCTTCCTTATCATAATATTATTTCATTTTGCATGTGATTAGAAGACACTCAAGAAATCTGGTCACTACTACAGTGCTCTGTATCTTCCTCTTCACATCCTCTTTTACCACTTCAGGTGTCGACCCGCTCAGGTTAGGGTCTTATAAATCTGACAAATGGCAATGCAACTGAGAGAGGCACAGTAACAGATAAAATAATTTCAAAGCATAGCTAAAATGTAATAATAGAAACCATTTGCCCTTTCTTCTGCCAATATTTTACAATAAACTTCATATCATGAACATATTTATCAGAAAACATGTCATTCTGGCTTACATTCATAAAAGTAATGGCCGATGTGTTCATAAATTGTGAATAATGTAAGAAATATTACCTGAATTCTACGGAAGAGTTGCCGGGCCCACGAAATCTTTCCTCCAATCGGTGGATGGTCTCTGTCTAAAGGGGGGTCATTTTTGTGTTTCTGGTAGATTCTTGAAACTGTGTCAATATCACGGCTGAAGAGTAAAATGAAGAAGATGCCCAAATATAAATAAAACATAAAATAAATTTTTTTCATGAGATTAATGCAATATCCTTCTTTGAAAGCAACAAGACTGTAATTTTCACAACTTGTTACCGCAAAATGTTGTTAATTATTTTATACATTTTTACTGCGACCTGCACATTCTTACTGCGACCTGCACATTCTTACTGCGACCTGCACATTTTTACTGCGACCTGCACATTCTTATCAGCAGAAGAAGAGAAAGAAATGCAGGCATAACTTGAATAACCTAATACAATGGTGAAGGGGCTAATCTGTCTGCCTGCTGGCCTGCAGGCCGTCACTTTAAAACCCCATTCATGTGGAATTTGAAAACTGACCTGGTAAAACCTGGCTTAAAAAAAGGTGCCAGGAAATGTTCTAGAGAATAAAGCTGCTGGCATGTTACTGACCCAATGACCCCTTGCATGTCGTCTGATGCAAACGATCGATGGCCAGTAAACTGCAAGGAGTGAAAATAGGCCATTTTCTTCTGTAACTCATGCAGTAGCTAGCACTGAGCGATACATTCCTTGATTTCTGCTAAAATATACTTTTCTGAATTCCTTCCTGTCCCATCCACTTATTTCACTAATCCATTTAGCCAAATTGATACCTTCAGTTTCTTCTATCCCGCAGTGTTACTTTTACTTTTAGCTCTTCCAATCAAAGGAATAATCAGATGGGCAACCTTTAAGTGTAAACATATTACAATGCCAGCCATTTTTTTTAGTAAAGGCCTCTGACAGCTTACATAGAATTTTACTATGGGGAATTCTGGAATGCTATGGCATACCAGCCAAAATAATACGCATTATTAGAAATTTATACGATGGTTCAGGAAGTGCAGGTGCACTGAAAATGGTCTAAGTGACTGGTTTTTGTTGGAAACTGGAGTAAAAGATGGCTGCATTCTATCTCCCTTGTTATTCAGAGTAGCCAGTGATTGAGCAATGAATAAATTTTGTGACGGAAAAACTGGCATTGACTGGGCAGAAAAAAGACCATTTAAAAATCTGGATCTCACAGATGTTATTGTTATGTTAAGTAACAATAACACAGACAGGCAAAGAAAAAACAGACCATTTGTTGTCTACAGCATCAACAATAACACAGACAGGCAAAGAAAAACAGACCATTTGTTGTCTACAGCATCAACAATAACACAGACAGGCAAAGAAAAACAGACCATTTGTTGTCTACAGCATCAACAATAACACAGACAGGCAAAGAAAAACAGACCATTTGTTGTCTACAGCATCAACAATAACAGACAGGCAGACATTTGTTGTCTAAAGAAAATAACACAGACAGGCAAAGAAAAACAGACCATTTGTTGTCTACAGCATCAACAATAACACAGACAGGCAAAGAAAAAACAGACCATTTGTTGTCTACAGCATCAACAATAACACAGACAGGCAAAGAAAAACAGACCATTTGTTGTCTACAGCATCAACAATAACACAGACAGGCAAAGAAAAAACAGACCATTTGTTGTCTACAGCATCAACAATAACACAGACAGGCAAAGAAAAACAGACCATTTGTTGTCTACAGCATCAACAATAACACAGACAGGCAAAGAAAAACAGACCATTTGTTGTCTACAGCATCAACAATAACACAGACAGGCAAAGAAAAACAGACCATTTGTTGTCTACAGCATCAACAATAACACAGACAGGCAAAGAAAAAAACAGACCATTTGTTGTCTACAGCATCAACAATAACACAGACAGGCAAAGAAAAACAGACGATTTGTTGTCTACAGCATCAACAATAACACAGACAGGCAAAGAAAAACAGACGATTTGTTGTCTACAGCATCAACAATAACACAGACAGGCAAAGAAAAACAGACCATTTGTTGTCTACAGCATCAACAATAACACAGACAGGCAAAGAAAAAACAGACGATTTGTTGTCTACAGCATCAACAATAACACAGACAGGCAAAGAAAAACAGACGATTTGTTGTCTACAGCATCAACAATAACACAGACAGGCAAAGAAAAACAGACGATTTGTTGTCTACAGCATCAACAATAACACAGACAGGCAAAGAAAAACAGACATTTGTTGTCTACAGCATCAACAATAACACAGACAGGCAAAGAAAAAACAGACGATTTGTTGTCTACAGCATCAACAATAACACAGACAGGCAAAGAAAAACAGACCATTTGTTGTCTACAGCATCAACAATAACACAGACAGGCAAAGAAAAACAGACCATTTGTTGTCTACAGCATCAACAATAACACAGACAGGCAAAGAAAAAACAGACCATTTGTTGTCTACAGCATCAACAATAACACAGACAGGCAAAGAAAAACAGACCATTTGTTGTCTACAGCATCAACAATAACACAGACAGGCAAAGAAAAACAGACCATTTGTTGTCTACAGCATCAACAATAACACAGACAGGCAAAGAAAAAACAGACCATTTGTTGTCTACAGCATCAACAATAACACAGACAGGCAAAGAAAAACAGACCATTTGTTGTCTACAGCATCAACAATAACACAGACAGGCAAAGAAAAAACAGACCATTTGTTGTCTACAGCATCAACAATAACACAGACAGGCAAAGAAAAAACAGACCATTTGTTGTCTACAGCATCAACAATAACACAGACAGGCAAAGAAAAAACAGACCATTTGTTGTCTACAGCATCAACAATAACACAGACAGGCAAAGAAAAACAGACCATTTGTTGTCTACAGCATCAACAATAACACAGACAGGCAAAGAAAAAACAGACCATTTGTTGTCTACAGCATCAACAATAACACAGACAGGCAAAGAAAAAACAGACCATTTGTTGTCTACAGCATCAACAATAACACAGACAGGCAAAGAAAAACAGACCATTTGTTGTCTACAGCATCAACAATAACACAGACAGGCAAAGAAAAAACAGACCATTTGTTGTCTACAGCATCAACAATAACACAGACAGGCAAAGAAAAAACAGACCATTTGTTGTCTACAGCATCAACAATAACACAGACAGGCAAAGAAAAAACAGACCATTTGTTGTCTACAGCATCAACAATAACACAGACAGGCAAAGAAAAAACAGACCATTTGTTGTCTACAGCATCAACAATAACACAGACAGGCAAAGAAAAAACAGACCATTTGTTGTCTACAGCATCAACAATAACACAGACAGGCAAAGAAAAAACAGACCATTTGTTGTCTACAGCATCAACAATAACACAGACAGGCAAAGAAAAACAGACCATTTGTTGTCTACAGCATCAACAATAACACAGACAGGCAAAGAAAAACAGACCATTTGTTGTCTACAGCATCAACAATAACACAGACAGGCAAAGAAAAAACAGACCATTTGTTGTCTACAGCATCAACAATAACACAGACAGGCAAAGAAAAAAAACAGACCATTTGTTGTCTACAGCATCAACAATAACACAGACAGGCAAAGAAAAAACAGACCATTTGTTGTCTACAGCATCAACAATAACACAGACAGGCAAAGAAAAAACAGACCATTTGTTGTCTACAGCATCAACAATAACACAGACAGGCAAAGAAAAAACAGACCATTTGTTGTCTACAGCATCAACAATAACACAGACAGGCAAAGAAAAAACAGACCATTTGTTGTCTACAGCATCAACAATAACACAGACAGGCAAAGAAAAACAGACCATTTGTTGTCTACAGCATCAACAATAACACAGACAGGCAAAGAAAAAAAACAGACCATTTGTTGTCTACAGCATCAACAATAACACAGACAGGCAAAGAAAAACAGACCATTTGTTGTCTACAGCATCAACAATAACACAGACAGGCAAAGAAAAAACAGACGATTTGTTGTCTACAGCATCAACAATAACACAGACAGGCAAAGAAAAACAGACATTTGTTGTCTACAGCATCAACAATAACACAGACAGGCAAAGAAAAACAGACCATTTGTTGTCTACAGCATCAACAATAACACAGACAGGCAAAGAAAAACAGACCATTTGTTGTCTACAGCATCAACAATAACACAGACAGGCAAAGAAAAAACAGACCATTTGTTGTCTACAGCATCAACAATAACACAGACAGGCAAAGAAAAAACAGACCATTTGTTGTCTACAGCATCAACAATAACACAGACAGGCAAAGAAAAACAGACCATTTGTTGTCTACAGCATCAACAATAACACAGACAGGCAAAGAAAAAACAGACCATTTGTTGTCTACAGCATCAACAATAACACAGACAGGCAAAGAAAAACAGACCATTTGTTGTCTACAGCATCAACAATAACACAGACAGGCAAAGAAAAACAGACCATTTGTTGTCTACAGCATCAACAATAACACAGACAGGCAAAGAAAAACAGACCATTTGTTGTCTACAGCATCAACAATAACACAGACAGGCAAAGAAAAACAGACGATTTGTTGTCTACAGCATCAACAATAACACAGACAGGCAAAGAAAAACAGACGATTTGTTGTCTACAGCATCAACAATAACACAGACAGGCAAAGAAAAACAGACCATTTGTTGTCTACAGCATCAACAATAACACAGACAGGCAAAGAAAAACAGACCATTTGTTGTCTACAGCATCAACAATAACACAGACAGGCAAAGAAAAACAGACCATTTGTTGTCTACAGCATCAACAATAACACAGACAGGCAAAGAAAAACAGACCATTTGTTGTCTACAGCATCAACAATAACACAGACAGGCAAAGAAAAACAGACCATTTGTTGTCTACAGCATCAACAATAACACAGACAGGCAAAGAAAAACAGACCATTTGTTGTCTACAGCATCAACAATAACACAGACAGGCAAAGAAAAAACAGACCATTTGTTGTCTACAGCATCAACAATAACACAGACAGGCAAAGAAAAACAGACGATTTGTTGTCTACAGCATCAACAATAACACAGACAGGCAAAGAAAAACAGACGATTTGTTGTCTACAGCATCAACAATAACACAGACAGGCAAAGAAAAACAGACGATTTGTTGTCTACAGCATCAACAATAACACAGACAGGCAAAGAAAAACAGACCATTTGTTGTCTACAGCATCAACAATAACACAGACAGGCAAAGAAAAACAGACCATTTGTTGTCTACAGCATCAACAATAACACAGACAGGCAAAGAAAAACAGACCATTTGTTGTCTACAGCATCAACAATAACACACAGACAGGCAAAGAAAAACAGACAGACCATTTGTTGTCTACAGCATCAACAATAACACAGACAGGCAAAGAAAAAAACAGACCATTTGTTGTCTACAGCATCAACAATAACACAGACAGGCAAAGAAAAACAGACCATTTGTTGTCTACAGCATCAACAATAACACAGACAGGCAAAGAAAAACAGACCATTTGTTGTCTACAGCATCAACAATAACACAGACAGGCAAAGAAAAACAGACCATTTGTTGTCTACAGCATCAACAATAACACAGACAGGCAAAGAAAAACAGACCATTTGTTGTCTACAGCATCAACAATAACACAGACAGGCAAAGAAAAACAGACCATTTGTTGTCTACAGCATCAACAATAACACAGACAGGCAAAGAAAAAACAGACCATTTGTTGTCTACAGCATCAACAATAACACAGACAGGCAAAGAAAAAACAGACCATTTGTTGTCTACAGCATCAACAATAACACAGACAGGCAAAGAAAAAACAGACCATTTGTTGTCTACAGCATCAACAATAACACAGACAGGCAAAGAAAAAACAGACCATTTGTTGTCTACAGCATCAACAATAACACAGACAGGCAAAGAAAAACAGACCATTTGTTGTCTACAGCATCAACAATAACACAGACAGGCAAAGAAAAACAGACCATTTGTTGTCTACAGCATCAACAATAACACAGACAGGCAAAGAAAAACAGACCATTTGTTGTCTACAGCATCAACAATAACACAGACAGGCAAAGAAAAAACAGACCATTTGTTGTCTACAGCATCAACAATAACACAGACAGGCAAAGAAAAAACAGACCATTTGTTGTCTACAGCATCAACAATAACACAGACAGGCAAAGAAAAACAGACCATTTGTTGTCTACAGCATCAACAATAACACAGACAGGCAAAGAAAAAAACAGACCATTTGTTGTCTACAGCATCAACAATAACACAGACAGGCAAAGAAAAAACAGACCATTTGTTGTCTACAGCATCAACAATAACACAGACAGGCAAAGAAAAAACAGACGATTTGTTGTCTACAGCATCAACAATAACACAGACAGGCAAAGAAAAAACAGACGAGGTCTACAGCATCAACAATAACACAGACAGCAAAGAAAAAACAGACGATTTGTTGTCTACAGCATCAACAATAACACAGACAGGCAGACAGGCAAATCAAAAAACACAGACGACGATTTGTTGTCTACAGCATCAACAATAACACAGACAGGCAAAGAAAAACAGACGATTTGTTGTCTACAGCATCAACAATAACACAGACAGGCAAAGAAAAAAACAGACCATTTGTTGTCTACAGCATCAACAATAACACAGACAGGCAAAGAAAAACAGACCATTTGTTGTCTACAGCATCAACAATAACACAGACAGGCAAAGAAAAAACAGACCATTTGTTGTCTACAGCATCAACAATAACACAGACAGGCAAAGAAAAACAGACCATTTGTTGTCTACAGCATCAACAATAACACAGACAGGCAAAGAAAAACAGACCATTTGTTGTCTACAGCATCAACAATAACACAGACAGGCAAAGAAAAACAGACCATTTGTTGTCTACAGCATCAACAATAACACAGACAGGCAAAGAAAAACAGACCATTTGTTGTCTACAGCATCAACAATAACACAGACAGGCAAAGAAAAACAGACCATTTGTTGTCTACAGCATCAACAATAACACAGACAGGCAAAGAAAAACAGACCATTTGTTGTCTACAGCATCAACAATAACACAGACAGGCAAAGAAAAAACAGACCATTTGTTGTCTACAGCATCAAAACTAACACAGACAGGCAAAGAAAAACAGACCATTTGTTGTCTACAGCATCAACAATAACACAGACAGGCAAAGAAAAACAGACCATTTGTTGTCTACAGCATCAACAATAACACAGACAGGCAAAGAAAAACAGACCATTTGTTGTCTACAGCATCAACAATAACACAGACAGGCAAAGAAAAACAGACCATTTGTTGTCTACAGCATCAACAATAACACAGACAGGCAAAGAAAAACAGACGATTTGTTGTCTACAGCATCAACAATAACACAGACAGGCAAAGAAAAACAGACCATTTGTTGTCTACAGCATCAACAATAACACAGACAGGCAAAGAAAAACAGACCATTTGTTGTCTACAGCATCAACAATAACACAGACAGGCAAAGAAAAACAGACGATTTGTTGTCTACGGCATCAACAATAACACAGACAGGCAAAGAAAAACAGACGATTTGTTGTCTACAGCATCAACAATAACACAGACAGGCAAAGAAAAACAGACGATTTGTTGTCTACAGCATCAACAATAACACAGACAGGCAAAGAAAAACAGACGATTTGTTGTCTACAGCATCAACAATAACACAGACAGGCAAAGAAAAACAGACGATTTGTTGTCTACAGCATCAAAAATAGGTCTTCAAATAAGTTATGAGAAAACAAATATATTAAAGATACCAACAACTGATCATGTTTGTCATGCTAGAAAAAAGACCAATAAAAGTAACGGACCATTTCACCTATTTGGGTCGCAATTTAGACTCACTAGGAGTTACAAACAAGGAAATTATGACACACATTGGCAAAGCAACAACAGTCTGTAAAAGCCCCAAATATGGAGCTCCCAGTTATATAGCTTTAAGACCAAACTACAAATCTTGAATTCTAATGTTTTATCAATTGTAACATATGCCAGCAAAAGTTGGAGAAGCACCAAAGATATGGAACAAAAGTTAAATGCATTGAAAATAAATGTCTGAGAAAAATCATGAACATAAAATTTGGCAAATTTAAAAAGAGTGAGGAGATCAGAGAAGTGTCTTGACAAACACCTGTATCGACTGCAATAAGACAAGAAAGGTTGAGATATATTGGGCACACTCTGAGATGAAATGAGCAAAGAATTACAAAACAGGCACTGAAATGGGAAACAACAGGTCTGAGAAAAAGAGAACTCCAAGGGAAACGTTAAGCAGAACATTATTAGGAGAAGCTAAAAACACTGGGCTGAACTCCATGTCAGAAATCGAGAGAGTGGCATGCAATAGAGCAAAGTGGAGGAATGCAATACGAGCCTTATGTGACATCTAAAGGCACATGAAGGATGATGATGATGATGATACATCTTAGTACACTTGTTTCTAGAGTAGGCGCTGTTGTAATTTGTAGGTGAAAGGTTCGATTCTTGGGCTGGTAACTTGAGCTTTTGATTTCTATGTTGTCTAGTGTTTACTTCTGTCCTTCTATAAGTGCCAATCAATACAATGTCTCTTTGTTTATTATATATAATATATCTTCCAATCCAAGCATTTATTACTCCAAAAATCAAATCAGAACAAATGAAAGTAACTTGATAGGAAATGAGTTCAGAGGAGATGAGACTGGCCTGTAATACTGAAGAATGCGGTTATATTTCTCCTGCACTCCGAGACTGTCCAGCTCTAGAAGCTCAAACTTTCGCAGCAAGATGAGAGCATGGTGGGTATTGTTGATTTTCTCAAACTTTGAGTCCATGAAAGTGACGATGGCTGTCTGAAATAAGAAATTAAACAGAAAAACAATGTCTTAAACCAAAATTTACAAAAAAGTGTTTCAAACTAATCTCTAGCACAATGATTTTGATCGTATATGTGAAGGAAAGTTAAGGCTGCTGTGATGTGTAAGGAGATATTCTGTAGCTCACCTGGGGTGTCAGCAGTGACATGTGTGAAAGAAAGTTAAGGCTGCTGTGATGTGTAAGGAGATATTCTGTAGCTCACCTGGGGTGCCAGCAGTGACATGTGTGAAGGAAAGTTAAGGCTGCTGTGATGTGTAAGGAGATATTCTGTAGCTCACCTGGGGTGTCAGCAGTGACATGTGTGAAAGAAAGTTAAGGCTGCTGTGATGTGTAAGGAGATATTCTGTAGCTCACCTGGGGTGCCAGCAGTGACATGTGTGAAGGAAAGTTAAGGCTGCTGTGATGTGTAAGGAGATATTCTGTAGCTCACCTGGGGTGCCAGCAGTGACATGTGTGAAGGAAAGTTAAGGCTGCTGTGATGTGTAAGGAGATATTCTGTAGCTCACCTGGGGTGCCAGCAGTGACATGTGTGAAGGAAAGTTAAGGCTGCTGTGATGTGTAAGGAGATATTCTGTAGCTCACCTGGGGTGCCAGAAGTGACATGTGTGAAGGAAAGTTAAGGCTGCTGTGAAGTGTGTAAGGAGATACTCTGTAGCTCACCTGGGGTGCCAGCAGTCACATGTGTGAAGGAAAGTTAAGGCAATTATGACGTGTATAAGGAGATACACCGGTAAAAGAAGATACTCCATACTTTTGGTGCCAGAGGGCTCTGTGCCTGTTTTATGGATCATCATGCAAGACTCCTGCCACACGTCCTCATTGTGCACTTTAGATAAAGGCTCTATCTGCCAAACCTGAGCTGGCAAGGGATCTCGGTGTTGGTGGCCTCCAAAGATGCAGTGTCCAGAAATCATCTGGCTATTATCAGCCCACCCGCTCTGCATGGGTGATAACGTTCACTGAAAACTTATCTAGAGCATGAGTAAAGCTCGCCGATCAAATATCCTAGTATATGAAAAATCTTGGTTCAAACGTCAGTCAACGAAAAGTCCTACGGAACTACTCATTAGGCTCAAATATCCATCAGTCAATTGGCCTATAACATAACAGCAAAGTTTTTGATGTCCGACCATCAAATGTCCTACTGACAGACAAGGTTCAAGTGTCTGATCGTAAATTGTTCTAAAAAAAAAAAATAAGACAAACAGGGTTCAAATTTCCACTACCATTGGCCCCACTTGTCAGAGTGTCGAAACCAAATGAGGAATCGATGCCTGATGCATGCTATTCTTATACTGTCATCCTAAGTGTCCCGATGGAACAACCTCAAAGGTCTAACATGCTGAAAGAGATCATTCCCAATTGAAGTGGTGGGTAAAAGAAGAGAAGAAGAAAAAAGAAGCTGAAATGAAAAGAGGTGGACTTCATAAAGCCAGTACACAGTGTAAAGTCTTGACGAATCTTCCTGTTTAACAAAGGATTTTGCCACTGGCCAGGACTGGACTTTGAACCCCTAAAATTATAAACCAGCTCCCAGATGATGTGGAAAAAAGAGAGATTTTTTTATTAGTATGAATGTAAACGCAGGAACTCACATGCAGCTCAGCAATCTGTCTTTTAAATTCATCATAGTCCTGATCAAAGTCCATCCTGCGTTGATCCAAAAAGTCATAAGTTTTCTTGCGAATCTGAATCACACTCAGGGAGAACTTGGCAGCCATCTGTTCCATTCCTGAAAAAATATAATGACAATTCAATTGAAACAAAAATGAAATAAAAACTAAAATTATACAATAATAAGATTGAACAGTAGGATAATCTACAAAATATTTCACAATAAAGGATTTTTCAGACTAAAAACTCTCACTCCTTGAATGTTTAGCAGAAGATGTCCCAGGAGTCTTTCAGTCACTATGAACAAAATTATTTTTGCATAATGGAATCTAAATGCACAACAAAAGTGACAGATGAGAAAGCCAGATCTCAACTGTAAAGCTTTTGGCCACATTTCTTCTTCTTCAGCTGTAAACTCTAGCGAAAAGTTCTGGTTGTTCATCCATTTCTGAACTTTGGTTTTGTTTCAGAATTTGAGTTTTGCCTGCAAATCTAATTTTTGTATGCAGACTGTTGGTTTTTTGCCTATCAGGCAGATGCACTCCAACTTGGGAGGCTTCCCTAATTAGTTGATTGTACAACAGGTTTGTTAGGAGCCCATAAGCTTTTTTTCCTCTCCCTAAAACCCAAAAAAGAATAGTCAAATATAAAAGGTACAAGAATATGTGACATAATGATTGGGATTCGATTTGCAGGGAAACAGCCATTGACACATCAGGTTTTGCTTGTCAACTGTACAGTCGAAAGTAGGTCAAGTTTAATGTCTCTTTAGATGCCAGTGGTGTATCAGGCATATGGGACTAGACTGGTATTTGTATCGACCAATCAACCTCAATGGCTATGTGGTCAACATTACACTGGCTACCTTTACTTCCCATAAAATCACCTGGTTCTCATTTAAGACTGGGTCAGCATGGGAGCCAAGGTTATGTTGTGGAAAAAAAATTGGTTCCAAGTGGATTTGAACCCATGACCTTAGAATCTGTAGGCAAACCGCTAACCACTCCACCATGGACGCTCCCCTAAAAATGAGTATGTCACATATTTAGGGGTTACGGTAGTTTAGTCTCTAGTCTATTCATCTGGTAATGCATAATAATGAATTCAAATCGTCTTCAGGGTGAAATGTTTATGACCAAATGTCTCCAAGCCCAACCCTAGCTTATAAAATAGTTAACAGAAGATTGCCTCGGAAGTAAACTGGCAATTGTAATACTGGCAAATTATGTCAGGAAATGCAATATGGTCCAGAGAATATAAAAAATGTTTTAAAATCTTTACAGTATGTACTTATGTTTGTGATTATTATAAATTTGTTCTAGATACCAGCACACTTTTTTTGTTTTATGTTATTACAAAAATATAAGCCAGTATATTATACTTATGCCTCATTGGCTTGGCAATTTAACCTGCTAAAACAAAATTTGGCTTTGTGTGGTTCTTGCCTGTATTAGCTGAATATACATTAATCTCATGATTCCCTGCCGAGGTATGTGAGCCAACTTTAAGAATGAAGGCAAGATACTGTAAACATCCAGAAATATAGGCATGAAAAAAAAATTTGAATAATTTTTACTGATAGAAACCAAATGATGATTACCCTCAATTTTGCTCTCTGACAGGTGTGAATATTTGTCAATTGTGTCGAACATTTCCAGAATCTTCTTCAGGCGGCGAGTAAAAGTATCAAACTTTCCAAAAATGTACATCTCCGAGAAGTCAAAGGGGCGCTCACTCGGAATTGTTTCCAGCTTGGCCTAAGGTCAATATAAAGAAACATTTTAACTTTAAAACAACCTCTTTACAGGCAGTTGGCTATTCTATGAAGGGAACAAATGAACAAACAAACAAAATCTCCAAAGGGTCATAAATTAGGCACTCAGCCTTGTCTTACAGTTGCCCCTTCCAAACACTAAAACACTTTCACACAGCAATAGTATTTTTTTATAAAGCATATTATGTTTATCTTTCGCAATTTATGGTAAAAAAAGACAATGACATGCCTTAAAACCTAGTGCAATAAATGCTATCCATTCTTCTTTAACGTTTAACTGTTTAGTTTAGCCCATGACATTTAAATAACATAAGAGTTACTTACCTTGGTCTTGTGGAAATGCTTCTGGTACTCCTCGTTGAGCTTGATGCAAGCCATCAACTTTTGCCTGACCACAGGCATGGGCTGGGTCCAGATTGTCTCTGTTTTGTTGACACTGATGTAGGCTTTACAAGCCGTGATCATCTGATTGGTTATCTGCAGATGTCAGCAGTATAACAAACTGACTAAAAACATGTTAAGTGTAGATTTTATAAGCATCACCTAAACTTAACACAAATATCTTCCTAACTGCTTCTACTTCAGTATTCTCTCAACTGACATTAGTAATTACTCATCCTTTTATAGGATGCAATTTTTGGTTATTCGGAAGCTTCACCCTGGCTCTTGCCAGGGGCTGCAGTATAGCCTGGCCATAAATATAACCTAATGGCTGAACCCGGTTTCCAGGACCTCTCCACGGTTGATCCTCATCCACATGGTGGCACTTTGAGTCATCGAGTGTTTATCGCTTGTGTGATGTCCTGGTAGGGTAAAATGTACTACTACTACTACTACTATTCTCTCAAGACTGGAGGGAACCTCAAGAGCTCCACATATACCAGAGTTTTATAGAGGACAAAACAAACAGATTCACTGTTGTGTTTCCCTGTTTTCTGTTGACTCAGAAGTGAAACCTATTGTTTATGTCTTCATTATTTGAATTCACAACTCTATACGTTCTGAATGATTTTGTGTGCACTGATGGATCCTCTACAATTTATCTATAATCAGTCAAAGCATCTCACATATGATTACAATGAAATATAACAATATACTTAATAATACTTTCTTGTATAGATTAGTTGTGTATCCTTTACAGGACGCTGCAGAACCAACCCCAACAGCTCCTGGCTGTTGTGTGGTTTTTTTCTAGGCAAATTTACATCCAGTAGTTTGCCATTGCTTTCTGGACAGTCAGCTTTCTTGATACCACTGTGGAAACCAACGCAAGGTGCACGGCCTGCAGCTGGGATTGAACCCGGTATCCCGCATTACGAAGTGTTCGCATCAACTTAGCCACAGAGCCGAGATTTTCTTGTATATAATGTAAAAATATATCTGATAAGGTGATGTAACACTTATTATAAGAATACATGCTATACAACAGACTCTGTGGTAGAAAGGATTACATAATTAACTCATTTAAACACAAGTTTGATTAGCTATTATCTTGTTTTGTTTTCTTTTTTTTTTTTAAGCAGCACACAGAATTTTTCTGTAAATTTAGCGTTTATAAGTAAAGGACCCTTTTCCACTCCTTCAGACGTGTGAGGCACATAGGGCTAGACCTATATTTTACAGACTATCCGGCATTTGGTGGGTGATATGGTCAACATCAGGCCAGCCATCTTTGCTTCCTAGGACAGGACCTGGGATTCATTTAAGGCTGGTTTGACTTTGGTCTGAACATAATGGAGAAATCTGTCCAGTATTTCAACATTGTTTTGTGTATCTGTGAAAGTAACCCAGTCAGGTTTTTTCATTTTGAGTATAATCCATTTTAGCATCCGCTATGAAAACTGTTGACATTGAAAGAATAAACCATGACACTTTAGTACCTTGACAAAAAGGGAGGTCATTCTCTCGGATGTGTTGTAGTAGCGTGAGATACTGTGAACCATTCTGATAGCACTGATGAGAGCTGGGATTCCTTCCAGCATACCAACCTGGCAATATGAGAAATGAATTAGTACAATGCTGCAAGAAATCTACCAAAAAGTAGTAAACAGAGCTAACTCACATGCCATGTCATTTTGAAGCCTATTCTTAACTATTTCAGTCCCACAGGGTTTAACATCAGAGGCCCAGGGGAGAGTAACAAGAGAAGTAAAATTGATGAATCTTGTATTCACTGGGCTTCTATGTAGGAACATGAATGTGCGATGCCTTCCTTGGGACTGAATGTTTCAAACTATTCAGAATTTTCTCAGACTTAATCTTCTAGGTTTAAAACTTTATACTCACTGTACTTTAACGTATAGTAGAAGTAGATTACATGAAACTGTTCAAGATAACATACTGAAATAAACTCTGTGTGGGCACACATACAAGAATGTATGCAAATGTGTGTGTACTCTTGTCTCCAACATAAAACTTACTGGATCACTGCTGTAAAGTGGGTCACAGAGTTTCTCCAATGTGTACAAAAATCGGACATTGTCTTTGGCCTCATTTGCAGTGTCTGTTATACGACGATCCAATTCTTGCCAAGTCTTGAGAGGAATAAATGTGTTATACGATGGATTATACATTCACAAATGTCACTAACACATCAGCACATCGACTATCGATTAATTCTAATAAATTTGACATCTTTATTTTAGACACTCAAGTTTCAACAAATTATTTTGTTTTTCTTATTATTATTCTTATTTGGAAAATCTCAATCTTTATCTCTTTATTCTTCTTCTTCTTTTTTTTTTTTTTAGGTTCCTCAGTGCTCTGTTTAAAACATGAGAGTTTGCCTTGCATATCATGATCACGTGACAGTAGAAAACATCAGACATAAAGCTGAAAGACATAGCCCATGGCTGATGTGCATAAGTAAAGGCAACCTGAAGCTGTATCGCTACCATTGATACTTTACTGTAAAAGTGCATCATTTGGACACAAGATGGGGAGGTTAGCTGGCAACTCATCAGAGCCGCCAGTCAGCGTGGAGCTGACATATGACTGCTGATGTCCATGCTGTCATAAACTATTGTACTGCTGTAAAACCAAATTTAAGAAACAGTCATTGAACCACTAAAGTACAGTTGGTGGTGTCCAGTATGAGATCTTGTTGGCTACTAACACCACATATTGTGCTGCTCAAGTATTTTTTTTTTTTGGTATTAAATTATATTTTTTTTAAATCTGGTGTGGCTTCTTATTTGTGGGTGTGGAGTGGAATACAGTAAACCTTGGTATTGCAAATTCCAAGGGACCGAAAAAATGAAGAAGTCATTTTAAAGAACAATTTGTGATGAGTGGGAACTCACATTAATGCATTCTTGCTGGGGAAAAAAATCGTGTTCACGTTAACTGAGTGTTCTTTTTAAGCAAACTCATGTTAATGAGGTTTTACTTATGTTTTGAAAAAAAAAACTTTTAGTTGATCAACTTATGAAAAAGGTTAACGAGAGCTATCATGGAACAGTGGTGAGTGCCGTTGCTTGCCAAGACTCTAGTTCAGATTTCACACTCAAGTGGTGCTGACATTTGATTTACTTCTGACCTGTACAACTTTTATCTTGAACTTTCTAAAATCTAAATTCTCATATGGGTTCTGGAGCCCCATTGTAGGGTAAATTAAGAAAATAGACTCTGTGCCTCAAAAACAAGCGTGTCGACTAATGAGGGATTTCCTTCATGGTCGGAGTAGGTCTGCCTGAGAGGCAAGATACAATCAGTCTGCTTACAAATAAGCCAGATCTGTAAAATGGATGTACACACACAACCCAAGTTTTGGAACAGGACTCAAATCCAGAAGTGGATGAACAACCAGAACTTTCTGCTGGAGTTTACAGAAAAAGAAGATAAAATCTCAAAGAGAGATGTGAGGAAAGCATTGTGGAAGATGGTTGATTACCTATTTTCTCTGTCATAACCTAATATATGCAAAGGGCAAATCTTGACACTTTGATGGGAAGTAACTGCCTTGAACTTATGCTGACCTTGACCCTTAATCAGAAATTTAACTGGTTACCTTGATTAACTTGGATCTGGCTGCATGCAAAATTCCCAGAACGGCCTTGACATCATGACCTTTGATCTGATCTACCAAGTAGTTGAACTTTGACATTCGTTTCTTCCAATGATCTAGCTCGGCTCGAGGTCCGATGTCATCTGCCTCCCGTCTCATCTGCTCACTCTCAGCAAGTACCTATGACCCCAAAATACAAGTAATTATTGTATTCACACACAGATTGTCAGCCATTTTTATTTCATTATTTCAGTGAAAACAGTTTCTGGTGAAAGAAAATTAGTTGTTGACATTTTTGTTTGCAGAAGTGAACATAGATAAGTGTTGCCTCAGAAAACTTCCCTCTACTAAAAACTGTGAGAAAATATAATGAAGCAGAAAAAGGCTGCTTTTATTGGAAACATAAAAAATAGATCTTCATGAGATCAAGGAAGAAGTTGTTACTGCTGGTATAAGTTCCTTCAAAACAAATGCTAGATCAGTGTTCTTCAACCATTTTACACCCACGGCCACCAAGATAAAGGAACTTGATTCACGGCCCACCTGGCAGCTAAACCAAACACAGAAACGACAACAAATGTAGTCAGCAGTCATTTGATTCAATTCAATGTCACAAAATTAAATTTTTCATTTAATGCGACATCTGCTGCTACTCAAAGGCTAGACAATCTTTCCGGGTGAGTGAGTGGGATTTCTGGGATTTGTACCTGTTTTATTTTCATCCTTGATGTGTTAATCCTACAGACTGTAATTCTGGAAGAGAACAAAACTGCCTACCCTACCCCGTTAGGTAAAATATTTTGGCAGCCATTGCTTGAAGAACACTGTATTAGAAAATAAGTTGCTAAACAAAGAAGTTAAGCTGTGATCATATAGATAAGCACAACAAACAAGTTGTCTATATACAGGCATAAACTACACAACAGTGACATTTTGATTTCACAATGATCAGCATTCTTTCTTACCAGAGCAACCTGTCTGGGTTGAATCTCCAGAACTCACCCATGTGGGTTCCAGGGCTCCATTTGGGGTGGGGGGGGGGGGGGAGAATAGACCCACTGCCCCAACAAGCATGTCATAAATGGTGACTAGTTAGGAGTTTGCTGAAATCAGATATCTTAGGCTGAAAGGTGCAGATATCACAGCCTAGCTGTGAACCACAACACAAGGTACTAACCAGCCAGAAGTGGAGGAAGATTTCCAGAACTATCTGGATTTTCTTACTACTATCATTACAATTAGAAAACAGTTCTTAGAATTGCCAAGTTGAAACGAGTGCAAAATACAGACATTTAAAGAAGACTTAAAAACAGAATAAAATGCTTGGAAACAGTATCAGGTTTTAGTGTTGCAGTGACTTCAGTCACAGATCTGAGGCAAGGTTAAGGTCTTTGTGATGTGTACAAGGTGTTATTCCGTAACTCCCCTCACGTCTGTCAAGTGAAAGAAATAATGAACTGCTGAGACTTTGCTCTAAACCAAGAGATTTGCTCGCAGGTTAGAAGAGTAACGTCTCCTGAGGGCGCTATCTTGCAGTAGTTCTGTCTCTGTATATCCCTTGTTGACCCTCACTGTTGTCGTCACTGCACTGAGGTAAACCACGACAATTTGCCACAGTCAGCTGATTAGGCTCAAATGTCCATCTGATACATGTCCTATGGCAAAATGTCTAACTGTCAAAAGTCTTACTAAGTGGCAGAAAGATTCAAATGACAGCTACCACTGGCGCCACTCTCTAAAGTATCAGGACCAAGTAGGGGAAGCCATGCCGGATGCATTTGCTTCTCATACTGAGTAGCTAAGTGTCCAGATGAATGATGTTAAAGGTGTCTAAAGTCTTAAAGAAGACTACCTATTTGTGGGATCATCAAAGTCCTAGACCTGCAGGCTTTTTCCTGCTGATCTCCGGAAGGCTGAGCTCATGACAAGCAGGAAGCTCAACATAAGGTTGTGAGGTTAAGCAGTCATGTGCAGGATGTGACGATTCTTTGGGTGAGCCCAGGACCAGAGCGTCACACGTCAGATCTGCATTTATGGAAGCTGCCTTGGACAGCGGGGAATGCAAATGTTCTGCTTCTTAATTTGAGGGCCGACCAGTCTACATTTGGTTGCCCTGTCTGCACACCTGTAGATAAGGGGACACAAAGAAGACCACACAAACAAGGTTACATCATGTCCCACTGAACTATCCGGGAAGTTAACGCAGTCAACAAATGTTTGATGAATTTGAATATGTCCGCCAAAAGATGCCAGTATTGCAACTTTGCTGTAAACAGGCACAATGCAATCACATCACTCGGATGAATGCAAAGAAGAAGAAGAAGAAATCAAGTTTTAGAAACTGCAGTGTTTTGATGTCTGACCTGAACATTATAATAATAAAGATAACCTGTTCAATTTGCTTGATCCAGATCTTCATGCAGTCTTCCACCTTCTCCAGGGTCTCCGTGCTGTTTGCTGCACTTTGGTAGTCTGCAACTGTGTTCACCTTGTTCAGGTCATAGGTCTCGCAAGGCTTCAAGGTAACTTTTTCCTGTAGACTTTCCTGTGCGCCTGAATTAAAGAATAAACAAATCTTCCTTTCAAAATGTAGACTTTTGTTTATCTTTTATATCTGTTTTACTGTACAAATTCATGCCGTTAGCTTACTGCTGCACGAAGATGGGCACAGGATATACCGACACCTTGGGTAGGAAAGTGCACAAAGCCGAAGATCTGGCAAGAGACTGAGTTTCTTTTGGTAGACTACTCTCCCACAAGTACAGGTATATATGTCTTTTTCATTTAACTACTCACACAATTATATATGTCTTTTTCATTTAACTATTCACCTCCAAGTACATGTGTTTAATTTTTTATGCAACAGTATAAAATAACCTGTTTAACTACTCACCCACAAGCACAGCTACAAATGAGTCAAGAGAGTTGAGGAACTCAGTTCGAATCCCTTCCCCATCTTGACTGAACAACTGTTCCCATCCATTATCCAGTTTCTTGAGGGCAGGAATGTACACGTTAGATAAAACATGTTCTACAGCGTGCAGCAGACCACGCCCATTAGTTCCATGTCCATTGCAGTCCAGCACTGTAAAATTAATTTCCTGTAGAAATAAATGAACACTTGAAAACCAAGGCAAGCATCTGTCCACTTAGAGCTCTCTTGTGAGGGAAACAAGGAATGACTGGATCATCATTGCAATGCCATGATTGGTTATCACATAAAAGTCATCAATGAAGTGATATGATTGGTTATCACACAAAGGTCATCACTGAAGTGATATAATTGGTTATCACATAAAAGTCATCACTGAAGTGATATAATTGGTTATCACATAAAGGTCATCACTGAAGTGATATAATTGGTTATCACATAAAAGTCATCACTGAAGTGATATAATTGGTTATCACATAAAGGTCATCACTGAAGTGATATAATTGGTTATCACATAAAAGTCATCACTGAAGTGATATAACTGGTTATCACAACAAAAGTTATCACATAAAGTCATCACTGAAATGACATGACTGGTTATCACATAAAAGTCTTCACTGAAATGACATAATTGGTTATCACATAACAGTCGTCAGTGAAATGATATGATTAGTTATCACATGAAAGTCATAATTTAAATGACATGCTTATTTTTCAGATAAATGTCATTACTTAAGTGATATGATTAGTTATAACATAAAAGTGATCAATTGAATGACATAATTATCACATAAAAAACAACATTCTAATGAGCAATGTAATTGTTCGGAATGATAATTTTAACAGCCGATGTTTTGCATTTGATTTGGAAATAACTGACAGTTGGTGAGCCAGGAGGTCATAGAAATGTGTAATCATGTAACCACAAGAAGAACAAGTATTTGAGTCTGACCTTGGTTATGTTGGCTTCTGTAATCATGGTGTCCTTGGACAGTGGCGCACGTGTGAAAACCAGGCAGACACCTTTGAGTGGCGTCTCTTTCCCGTCTGCAATGAAAAGTTTTGGCTTGGCTGTCTTTGTCACTTTTGTTGCTGGCACACCAACACGGGTTGCATCTGGGACAGGTGTTTGAATAAATTACTGGGTAATTAAGTGGAACTGAGGCTTATGTGCGAATAAATTACCATATCATTGATTCTTTGTTTCACACACTATGTGCAAATCCAAAATACTGAATGAAGTGGAAACATGAACCTAGGCCAACAAAATACCAATGAATGTGAGGATTTTAAATGAGGATCTTCAGAAGACTTGGAGAGTATCTTAGATTAAATAAAATAAAAAGAGGAAATTGCTTAAACAATTCAACAATAAAATTATCAATGCTAAAGACAATACAACTGAGAGACAGGGTACTTTGCCACAGTTAAAATATTTTAGAATGCTGGCAAAATATAAGAATTCTTCTTCTTCTTCTAAACGTTCAGTGTCTGCAAACTCCGCTAGAAAGTTCTGGTTGTTCATCCACTTCTGTACTTTAGTCTTGTTCCAGAACTTGAGCTGTGCAATTATTTTACAGATCTACTTTTTTGTATTTTGGTTCCTGGCATCTTAGGCAGAGGCACTCCAACTTCAAAAGAGAACACCTCTAATTAGTCAACTTTTTTGACATGCTTATCAGGCAGGTGTTGCGTCTCTTCTTTCTTCTTCCAAAGTGGGGACCCAGAGCCTACCCGGAAAAAGTAAAAAGTAATATTATACAAGAAGAAAAACCAGTCGCACATACTGTGTTACTTAAGACCCCCCCCCCCCCCCCCCCCCCCCCCTTAAAAAATGTAATACGATTATTGCAATTGTTGTTTCTTGTTCTAAATTGGCATGGTAAACATATAGTCAACTCAAAAGCATATTCAACTATCTTGCTAATTGGCTGTATATGAAAATTAAAAAAATAAAACACTAAGAACAAGAGCTGTTTAACTAAATTTATTTATTGATGACAATTTTATGTGAAAATCATTCATATTTCTCCTCAACTATTTCCTCCACCTTTTTCATCTTCTCATCATTATTTATGAATACTTTGTTTTTCTTGTCTTATTTTTCTGAATGTTCTGATTATCACAACCTGAAAATTGTCCAACAATTGTTATTTTCTTCTTTATAAGAAAAATAAAAAAAAATAAAAAAATAATTCCAAGCAAAAAGAATTAACTGACTATTTCTTTGTATTTTTAAAAAGAAGAT